AGGGTAGACTCTAAGTGGTTAGTCAGCTTAAAAGAAAATAAATGAGAGTGGTTTTTAGGATCATTGTTAGTTTACATGGGTAGATGAGAATCTGATCATGTATGCATCAATTGCCTTTACCTTTAGCATTATGCATAAAGTTCTTACCATTTTCGAGAGAAACACTTGCTTAAAATAAACCCTCTTTAAAATGAGATCATTCTATGCGCATAGCCTTTACCCTTAGCCAAATGTGTTTTGCTTTAAAGTGCATAAGTTTGATTCATGGTTCGGTCATTAATGAATGTTAAAGGATGAGTTTCTTTGATTTTTTGGAATAATAGAGTCTTGATTTGAAATTCTTTGTGCAATGAGTATGGCTAAGTTCTTTGGAGTATGAGTGTGTGTATTGCATTTTAGAACTGGTAACTAGGACGTTGAGATTGTTTCATTCGAAAAGCACCTTTGCAAGAAGCTTAAACTCCCGTTTGTTTTAAAACCTCTCTCCCTTCTTTAATTTTGTTTGTTTGAGGGCAAGCAAAAGGTAAGTTTGGGGAAGTTGATATAGCTGCATATTCCATGCATTCTGCATATGCATAAGTGAATTTCTCACGCATATATAATGTATTTTAGGTTAGTTTGCATCACTTTAGGCCCTAGAGTATTCTTGCACCAGCATATGCATATTTCTTGCATTTTGCATCGCATACAGGTTGTTTTCGGCTACTTTGGAGTCTTGGAGGGTTCATGGACGTGTTGAGACTCGTGAGGAAGTTCGTGGGACTTGAAGAATTCGGGAATGCTTGCTAAGGACCAGAGATCGAGAGGAGGTTCGAGCATGGCCGGTCGATCTAGATGAGATCGACCAGAAGATCGAGTAGCCTAGCCGATCCAAGGGAACTGATCGAGACGGAGATCGAGTGAAGCGATCGATCAAGGAGTACGGACGTGAATGACGCCATGCGGAGCGAGAGCTGGATCGAGTCCACCACTCGATCCTCCAAAGATCGACTCCAAGATCGAACGAAGCACCCGATCCACCAAGGATGATCGAGACAGAGATCGAGCTGAAGGCACGATGTCTGAAAATGATCGAGAGAGCTGCTCGATCCCGAAGTCGATCTCAGTGTACTTTAACCGCTTTTGGCCGTTAGCGAAGGGGGGGAGGGGGACCATCGAGTTGTTTGGCCTGTTTTGGCAAGGCGGCGAGCATGCTTTTGAAGGACACATTTTCATTTTTATCTTTTTATCATCTCTTTCTCTCTGTTCGAAGGGGATTTTCGCCATTGTTGGATTTTGAAGCTTTTCTTGCTTTGTATCGAATCGTTTAAGTTTAATCTATCATTTTTCATGTTAATCGTTTCATCTTTCATGCTTTGCTTGGTTTACTTAATGTGTAGTGAGTAGTTTAATCGGGTTATGGGGTTGAGAGGATTCAAAGGGGTCGAAAAGGTTTTCAAGTTTGGAGTTTTCTTGTTCTTAATGGCTTTCTCTTCTAGGATGTTGAGTTCTTAAGGCTTAAAGAGTCTCACGCCAAGATCTTTATGATCAGAGAGAGCTCTTACCTTGAAAGGATCCAGAGATCTCTGAAAGTCACATCCTAGAGGCTAGTTACCCTTTCCCAAACGCCATGGTAGTTTAGGGGACTAGTTAAGCCGTGTGTTTGAAATCTGATTTCCTTGCCCTTCAATCTCTTTTTCCGCTAAACGTCATGGGTCTGGAGAAGAGAATGAAGGAGTGATCCATACCACACGCCATGGATGGATCTTGTTTTGTTTTCAAGGCTTAGAGAACCTCACAAAGTGAGTAGATCTAGAGTTTTCAAACCAAGCTTGAACCTTTGAAACCCCTGAACGTGAATCTCGACCCTAGACCCTCTTTCTTAGTATTCTTACATCTTTGCTCGTCATTCGCTTGTTACCTGTTGCATCCTGGTCATTAGTTTCATTGCGCTTGAACTTTTAGACGAGATCGATCGTTGTTGCTCGATCTAGTGGTCGATCCTGTGGACGATCCACTAGTCGATTTTTATAAATTCATAGCTTTGCATTTTAATCATTATGTTTGTTTGTCGTGGTAGTTCACTCTTTTCTAGTAATTTTAAAATAGTTTCGCCTTGCATTTAGTCGTGGCATTTAGTTTTTAGGAATTTTACAAAATCGTTCATCATTTGCCTAGCTTTACTGGATCCTTGCATTCTCATTGAACTTTCTAGCTCCTAAGATTGGATTGATTCCTCTTGCATTGTACTACAACTAAGTGCTGCTTGAGTTTTGATAACCTCCTGTTGCATTGCATCATCCTAGAGATAAGAATCTTGTTATCACGGTTCTAGGGGAGAAAATAAAGAAATGGAAAAGGATATAAAATGGAGTATACCAACATTATTACACCTCGATCCTCCCACTAAACAGTCTGAAAAGTTCGACGAGTTATGCATTTGCAGAGTACATAGCCAGTCAGGTACCAGATGCATTTGCAAATACTAAAACGGTAATTAAATCCCATATACAAGCTGCAAATCCTCATGCTCGTATTGAAATACCACAGGAACGTGAAAGAGAATACGATACACATGAGTGCGTGGTAGACATGTCGGTTCTAAGAATAAAAATCCTAGAAAGAAAAAGGAAGCTGAAATGCATACCATACCCAAAATAGTGGAAACTATTTTGGAGAAAGAAAATAATGAGATAAATGATAATGCAGAGCATCATGAATATGAAGGAAATCATGAGATTTCTATCAATTACATCTATAATGGAAAGATATGGAATCAAAATGAAATAGATGATGGTGATGACGTTTTCTCATACCTTGTGTCTAAAGAAATAAATCAGGAAAACGAAGATCCTGAACCTAAGTCCATGTATGAATGTCAAAAGAGACATGCATGGATAAAATGGAAGGATGTTATACAAGTAGAACTTGATTCGCTTAATAAGCGTAATGTATTTGGACATATTCTGCTCACACCTGTAGATGTGAGACCAGTTGGATATAAATGGGTTTTCATTTGAAAACGAAATGAGAAAAAATGAAATTATGAGATATAAGGCTCTCGTAGCCCAAGGTTTTTCTCAAAGACCTGGAATAGATTATGAAGAAACATATTATCCTATTATGGATGCAATCACATTTAGATTCCTGGTGAGTCTAACAGCTGATAAAAATCTAGAAATGTGTTATGGATGTCGGTATAGCATATTTATAAGGAACATTAGATACTGATATCAATATGAGAATTCCTGATGGATTTAAGATGCCAGCAGCATTAAGTTCCAAACCCAAATAATTATGTGCAAAGATCATTATATGGATTAAAGCAACCTGGATGTATGTGGTACAATTATCTTGGTGAGAATCTAACGAAAAAAGGATATGTGAATAATCCAATATGCCCATGTGTTTTCATCAAGAAAACAACATCCGGATTTCTAATTATCGTTGTATATGTTGATGATCTAAATACTATTGGAACTCAAGGGGAAATACAAAAGACATCAAATTATTTGAAAGGGGAATTTGAGATGAAAAATCTCAGACAGACAAAGTATTATCTAGGCCTCCAAATTGAGAATTCCTAAAATTGTATTTCCATACATCAATCCACATATACCAAAAGAGTATTAAAACGCTTTAACATGGATAAGACAACTTCTCTAAGTACACCTATGGTCGTTAGATCACTTAAGGTTAAAAATGATCCATTCCGAACACATGAGGAAAATGAAGAGATATTTGGTCCTGAAGTACCGTATCTAAGTGCAATTGGAGCTCTTATGTACCTTGCAAATTGTACGCGACTTGACATAACATTTGCTGTTTGGCAAGATTCAGTTCATCCTCTACACGAAGACATTGAAATGAGATTAAACATGTTTTCCGTTACCTTCAAGGGACTACTGATTTAGGTTTGTTTTATCCTAAAAACTCAGATGGACAAATGGTTGGTTTTGCAGATGCAAAATATTTATCAGATCCACATAAAGCCAGATCTCAAACAGGGTACGTTTTCACAACCGGAGGCACTGCTATATCTTGGCGTTCTTAGAAACAGACACTTGTGGCCACTTCCTCGAACCATGCTGGAATCATCGCACTTCATGAAGCAAGTAGAGAATGTGTATGGTTAAGGTCAATAAGCCAACACATCCGATCAAGCAGTAGAATTCGCGCAAATACCGAGCCAACTATCTTGTATGAAGACAATGTTGTATGTGATGCTCAAACTAAGGAAGGGTACATCAAAAGTGATAGAACCAATCATATCCCTCCAAAATTCTTTTCATATACTCAAGAGCTCGAGAAAATAAAGAAATTGAAGTAAGATATGTCTGATTATGTGATAACGCAGCCGATCCATTCACAAAATCATTGCCCACCACCATGTTCAGAAAGCATGTTCATAATATCAGAATGCGCCAGCAACAAGTCCTATAAGATGACACCCTGCTCATTTGAGGGGGAGCTTACACAGTTGTACTCTTTTTACCTGATTATAGTTTTTCCCACTGAATTTTTCCTAGAAATTTTTTTAATGAAACAACAAAGATGTTAAAAAAGACTATAATAACATTAATTTCCAAAACGCGTGTTATGAAAGTCAAAAATAAACAGAAATAAAAGTTATCAATTAAGGATGCATGTGATAAATAAATTGTAGAGTCTACCATCACTATGCGTACATATACAATAAATTTTTCTTTTTACTTTTTATATAAACAAATGCTTTTTATATAAACAAATGCTCTTGTTCATTTGTAATATACCAATCTAGAAAAAGTAATAAAAGTCTCTCTCGTTTCTTTTCAGTATTTCCTTTTCTCTGCTGATATAAATTTTGTCTTTATTCATATATCTATACAATATATGTGTTATACCTTTTAGATTCGACATTTATGTTGTCTCATGTATGTATTTTTGTTGTTAGGTTTATCCGTACTTCTGTTGTTAGATTAATCCGACTTACTTCAGCATAGCCCAATTAGCTCTTATGTTTTTTTTTTTTTTTTTTTTTCTAGTCTCTTGTTTTGGAAAATCTTGCGAGTGCGGATCTATGTCCACTCCAGAAATTATTGAGGCAACTACATGAACTTTACCACTGATACTTCCAAAGTAAAAAGCAGCAGAGAATCATCCAAAAAGAAAAAGAAGTTTCAAAAGCAGAGGATATAATACGAAGATAACATAATAGTAGTAGCGCCATGAAACTATCTCATCGAGCTCAAGGAACCTAAAAAGAAAACCCTGCGAATCAGGTACATGCAAAAGCAAAGAAATGTCTCTCTACTACAAGTTAAGCCACCTCAAGGAAGAGAAACCATTGCCCCTGCTTTGATGGATTCTGCTAAAGTAAATCACTCGTCCCTGTCAACAAGATAATGAGCAGTTAAATCAATTACATTCCAAGAACCTAATGAATTAGCTTTAGATGTCAAATAAAAAGCTGTCTGAGTTATGTTCATGTCTAATGGAAATGGGAACAAATTTGGGTAGAGAATGGTGATGCATCGGTACCAAATAGACTCACTTCAGTTTTCAGAAAATGATTCTCCACAGGTTTCCATTTAATGGATCATACATGTGAAATCACATAATAGAAAATTGGTTAACATACAATGTAACTCAATCTGCAAAATAAAATTTTCTCTAGCTAACATGATTTGCAACAATCATACAAAACCAATCAAGAATCCCATCAAATCCACTGATTCAGTCAGAGGATAAGGTCACTACTAAAATATCATTTCTGAATCTGCTAATTTCTCAAACATCTTTACAGATTACAATCACACACGTGAAATGAAGTTCTAGATACCAATCAATCTTGGGATACATAATCCAAACTACATACCACAATACAAAGCCACAGGTTTCAAGCAAGAACGATTTTAAATATAATATGATATACTGAGAAGCTAAAAACGAGATAAAAGGAGAGAAGGATCATACCATTTGATAAGCCAGCCAAAGAGGAAATGCTGCATAATCGGGACTTTCTCGAGCACTTCGACTTTATACATCTTAAGCAAACCGCTATTCACCTTCTTCCAGTTCGGTACACCGCTTATATCATCAAGCAACGGTGAATGCTCAGCGAACAAACCTTTCTTCACCTTCTTCACAAACGCAATACAAGACAAGTACATGTACTCGCTAGAGAAATTCTCCAGAATGTCATCGCTGTGAATCGATTTCGGTTTCATATACTTGTGATCAATCAACTGAGAGCTCCCGAATATGAAAGGCAAGAAATGGTAATCATCAAGACCCCAAACTCCATGAGATCCAGCAGGTTCTAAGCAATAAACCATCTGCAGTTTTCTCATCAATTCAAGGTACTTGACAAAAACCCTAGCCACCACACCATGATAATCTTCTTCCTTGACGATCCCCATCCTCGCTAAGCAATACAGCCACGCCGCGAAATTCGTCTCGTGTCCGGTTCCGTAATCGATTCTGCTTCCGTTTCCGAAGCTGTCGAAGAAGTAAGGAACGATCTCGATTGTAGATCCTTTGAACTCATCAGGGAGAAACTCAAGGATAAGCGATTCGGCTTTCTCAGCGAGCCGTTCGTGCCATGTCCTGAACGAGATGTTACCGTATCGAGACGACATTTGGACAGGAGGAATCTCGTCGATCCATTGCAACAAGGTCTCAAGGATTGAAACTATGGCGGCGACGGTAGGTGAGACATGGCAAGGATCTGAGATTTTTTGTCCACGGATCGATTCCGAGAGAGAAACAACGAATCCTAAGAAGTTCTTACAAGATGCTGATTCCTGGAAACGGCGGATATCATCAGAGGAGTGGATTCTCTTGACGGGACACTGAAATTGATACGGCGGAGTGACGACGGGGACTTGTTCGGCGTGAGGAACGGGAGAGAGGATGATCGCCTGAGAGTTGTGTGGAAGGTTGATAGCTGGAGCTCGGATCGGGCGATAGTTCGGTGGCGGTGACATCTCCGGTAGTGAAGCTAGAGGTGGTGGTTCGGAAATCGTTGGTCCGCCGCAGTTAGTGCAGCAACCAGAGGGAGGATACGCGGACGACGGAGGATCGGAGGGAGATTTTTCCGGCGTGTGTTGGTCCTTCGGGGGTTCCATTTCGCAGTTTGCAGAGACGTAACGAGTTACTCAGGGAAGAAGGCTCAAAGGTTGAAATTACTGCGAAAATAGAGTTAATAAAAGTTTCTTAGTAATGCGAAACCCATTTCGAAAAGCCCAAAGGTATTTTTTTTGTTTTGGATAATCAGCAGCCGGATTTCTTTCCTTATTACGGTTTTACATAGATAAGATGTTTAAAAAAAAAAAAATCGTTAAAACTAGGCCTGGACATAAAAAGTGGACTTTAAAAACTGAATTCGTCTAAACTAAATTAAAAGATAACAAATCAAACTGGAACTAGTATAAATCCTAATAGAGTCTTCATCTCTATATAGTAGAAATTTTATAAATTAATAATATTAAGATTTTGATATTTTATTAATTTATAAAGTTATTAATTTATAGATTTTTAGATAAAATAACTTTTTATTCATAACTAATTAAAAATAAAATTTTTAAAAAAATTCATAATATTTTCTAAAATTTTCATTATAAAACTGCAGATAAATGATAAAAAAATATTTCAATTTTAATACAAAAAACAACAATATACTCATATTTTAATAGATTATCATATTTATATATTTATATAAAATTATTTTACATGATATTTATTAATTTATGATTCTAATGGGACTATATTTTATATAAGTTTTCAAAAAAAATATTATCTTATTAATTTATCGATTTATATTAAATTTTGAACCAGCCCAACTCGGGACTGAGCAAAATTATTAATTTATCAGTTTATTAATTTATCGAATATTAATTTATATAGTTTCCACTGTATTCAAAAAACCAATATCAAATCTGAACCAAACCAAAAAATTATATAGATATTAGAAATATCAAAAATATAATTATATATTTATAAATATTAGTTATATTTAGATATAAAATAAATAAGATTCTCAAAATTATAATTAAAAATCGAATATATATTAGTTATTTTAATAAAGACTGATATCAAATCCGAACCAAACCAAAAAAATCGTATAGATATTCGAAATAACCAAAATATAATTATATATTTATAAATATTAGTTATATTTAGATATAAAATAAATAAGATTCTCAAAATTATATTTATAAATCGAATATATGTTAGTTATTTTAATAAATACTGATTTCAAATCAAACCAAACCAAAAAAATCATATAGATATTTGAAATATCTAAAATATAATTATATATTTATAAATATTAGTTATATTTAGATATAAAATAAATTAGATTCTCAAAATTATAATTATAAATTGAATATGTATTAGTTATATTTATATTAAAATAACTAACATATCCCAATTTTTTAGTTATATATATGAAAACTAAATATTTTTGGTAAAATTTAACCAAAATTTTTAAAAAAAGATCTTTGATAAATTTCAGACAATTCGGTGACCCAAATCCGATCTAAACTCAATATGAACCAAACTGAACTAAATGATAAATCATGAATATTTGGTAGAGATTTTCATAATAGACTAAATGATCAAATTTTAAGAGTTTTTAGAGATGTCAGATAATAATTATTACTTGGTTGGTTTGCATATATGTGCAAGTTTAATAGTTTTAATAAAAATAAGTTAATTGTAATACTGAAGTTATAGTAAATAAGTGACTGATTCAAAAAATCAATTAACTTGTATTTTTCTAACTTTGATATTTGTTTTAATTTAAAATATAAATAATGAATAACAGCAGAGAAGAAAACAACTTGATTTGTGAAAGTATGTTTTAACATGTTGAAAAAAATTATATTACATGAAACATTTAATATGCGTAAAATAATACTAAATTAAGGATAATTGGAGCAAATCATATATGTATTGTGACAACAATTGAATAATAAAAAAAAAACACAGAAACACTTCAGATTTGATAAAACTGTGGATTGGACAATATGGTTGGATGCAATAATACAGGACTGACGTTATGATACTTTGGATTCAATATAATTATTGGTTGATAAAATTGGTATATGCATGCATGAAAAAAAACCAACTATATGGAAGGGACAAAATCGAGGAAGTACAACGACAACTAAAAAATATAGACAGATTATACATATATCTAAGATGAATTTATTAAGATAACAGAGAAGCTCAAAGATATGTATTGCAATAAGAATAATTCTGGCAACAAAAGAGTAGGAATTTATGGAATTGATACAGGAATTTAATATAAAATTTTATCATGCTGCCACAAAACAGCTGAGGACAATAAACAGAATTATTGGATTACAGAACAGCCAGGGAGTTTGGATAGCTGGAAATTAGACATCTATTCACATAGGTTAAGCATGCAAATATTTTGATTTAGTTGGTTGAGATTTTTCATTTAATACATTGTGAGTGGAAAGTGTCATTTTCTCTAAATCATTTTTCTCAAAGCTAATCTAACATTAAAATCACTAAACAAGAAATGATCTATTATAATTAAGTCATAAGCATCATAAATCAATCATCAAATCATCCTAATCTAACTCATCCCAAGATCAAAAGAGATTATACACTAATTATTTCTAAAACCACAAATTTAATGATAGAAGTGTAGCTAATCATGATTAGATAAGAACAAAATGAATGATTAACAAAGATCAACTCTAAAATTTCATAACATCTTAAAAATATCTCATAAATTATGTTTATAACATAAAGAAAGGCTTTGCTTATGAAAGAACAAGAAAATAAACCTTAGCAATTGACTTCCTTTTCAATGTTAAGTAAATGTGGGTGTGATTATGCTATTCGTTTATATACCAACTTTTCTCTCGGCAGCAAGAGTACACTTGGGATCAAGCATATACAAGGCTTATCCAGAGACAGTATATGCAAACCGATACAACTTTTTCTCGACGTGCCATACCGAGATGTGCAAACTGATACAAGTTCATGCCGCCTAAAGTGACTCAAATATCGGACCATAAGAAGGTTTTATATTTCGACTCAGTCTTCGAGTTATTTATGAAAGTTATATAAAATTAAATTATCTTCTATGGGGGTAGTTCCATGTTATTACAATTATCGGTTAGGGAGATACAACGGTTTTAGCAAGCACATCTTTCATCAGCCAGAACTTCCATACCGAGAAGGCCATACCGATGTCACACATCGGTATAGAGGTGTCAGGAGGTCATGCCAACGTGGTATACCGAGGTGTGGTATGTGCAACAAAACGATATGACTCCTGGTCCGACTTTAGACCAAGAGTTGACCCGGATTTACATTGTTCATTATAAAAGCCGAAAGACTTATTTTATATTGCTAAGCTTTAATTTATTTTCTTCTTCTTTCTTAAGCAAAACCTTTCTTTATGTTATAAACATAATTTATGATATATTTTCAAGAATATATGCAATTTTAAAGTTTATATTTTTAAATCTTTCATCTTGTTCTTCTATAATCATGATTAGCTACACTTTTATCATTAGATTTGTGGGTTTGGAAATAATTAATGAGTAATCTCCTTAGATCTTCAGATGAGTTAGATTAGGATGATTTGATGATTGATTTATGATACTTAGAGCTTAATTATAATAGATCATTTCTTGTTCAATGATTTTAATGCTAGATTAGCTTTGAGAAAAGTGATTTAGACCAAAGGGCATTTCCCACCCACCCACAAGGTGTTTGATGAAATGTTCCAACCAACTAAATTAAGAGATTTTCGTGCTTAGACTATGGTAATAGTTGTCTAAGGTGTTTATTGGCTTTATAGAACTGAATTTTAATACTTATTGATTACATTTTCACTAATGATGATTAGATCTTGATTAGATAATTAGCTGAGTGATTAGTACTTTGATAGTGGATTAATTTTGTTTAAGAGTTCTATGCTTAAGGATTAGCATTTTTGTGATTGTGTGAACATCATAAGTCAGTTTGAGAGTCACCCTAACTCAATTACCCAATACTAGGATCATTTGTATTTAATTGTTAATCCTAACTAGTGCTTGCTTTATTTTTTTCTTATCTTGTATTTGGTTTTGCTTGTGCTTAAGTTGTTAGCTTCTTTTGAGTTTGTTTGCTTGTTTTAGATTTCACTAAAGTTGCTAGACAAAAACTCCTCTTTGAATTTTCTTGGCTTAGATAGTTTCATGCATTATTGGTGTTGTTAATCTTAACCATCTTTGGATTGATCCTTAACTAGTACAATGATATGAGTATACTTGTGTAATTGTTAGTGAAAAAAAACTACTATCAATTTGGCGCCGTAGCCATTGGGGTTTAGCATTAACCATTACATCTTTAAATGTGTTTGAGACTAAGCTTCTATTTTACCTTATTTGCTCATCTCTATTTGGATTTGCTTAGCTCATATAGTTTAATGCATTTTTGATGTTGTTAATCCTAACCTCTTTGAATTGATCATTAAATACTACAATGACATGAGTAGGCTTAAGTAATTACTAGTGAAAAAAACGTACTATCAGTAGGAACTTGAGATCACTTAGTTGGGCTGACCTCTGGGAGGACATAGAAGGGTCCCTCCCAAGGTTCTCTGACGCTCAAGTCAGATACGTCCTATTAGGAACAGATACTCAGAAGAATAGGTTGTGGTGAGGTAATGGGGTGGAGTATCTTATCTCTGGATCATGATACACATCTGCTGTTTGGTGATGATCGGGAAGGCCTTAAGAGAAGGGAGTTGGAACTCCCTCTAAACAGGGATGATAAGAGAAAAAGATTAGTGCACCTACTTAGGTATGTCCCTCAGGATAGGTCAGTGGGACCATTCCCAGAGAATGATGTGTCTGGTCATGGACATCGAACAAGAGCTCTTAAACACTTTGACAGTGCGGATTCGGTCATGGAGAGATCTCTTGAAGGTTCTCCAGCTATTCCACCTCTTATTCCGGTCAAATATCTCTCTCTAGCCCTCACCCTTCGCCCAACTGACCTTTTGATCGCTGATCGACCGACCTCTCTCTTATGAGCCTTGAGGCCTTATTTATATTTTTTCTAGGATCGCTTCGATTGGCTCTGTGAGTTCTGTCGAGTACGCTTACTGTCTAGGCAGTTGGCCAACCAACCTGGTGCCAGATTTTCCAGGTGTGAAGTCTGCCATCCCTCGTATGATGCTTAGTTGGGCAGATTAGATAGAACCCTGTTGAGTAAGTCACTCTACTGATGTGGGGCC